AATTTTACCCTAGTTGAGCGTTCTTCTGTCGCTCGCTTACAAAAAAAAATGCACCTATTTTACTGCTGTTTAAAAGCCTGATTATGGCAACTTAACTTAACTTAACGGAACGTAGAACTTAGAGAATCAAAATGAAACAGATTTCGACGTGGCATTAAGTTATTATAAGGAGCTCGAAGGAAGGCCATCAACGATTGCTGACGCCGAATTGGGAACAATTTTGGAAGGAGACCCGTACCAAACCCAATAAGAACTTGCGGATTATATTGGTATGTTTGAGAAAGTCAAACAGTGGGTGTTTCAAGAACACAACCAAGAGATATCGAATGGCGTGGCACTGTTTCCCAAAATCTCCTTCAGCGGTACAAAGCTAAGTCATTTTTATTGTATTGTCACCGGTTATGGAAAATGGATTCATAACGACAATCCAAATGCCAGGGGGCGTAGGCAGCAAGCAGTTGGTGGGAACAGAAATTAATTCTGTATCATGTGCTTCTCAAAAGTGATCAGACGATCGACGGGATCTCTACATACAACAACTAATATTCATGAACCGAGCGATCGCGGAAAAACGGCCGGAATGAGCAACCAGATATCTATATAAGTACATGCATATAAGTACTATAATACGCGAAGGGATCTTTTGTCCAGTACAAAAGATGTGTACGGTTCGCCCAATTTTAAAAATTAGATGTAAAATTAAAGCACTTGGTCTGTAGAAACTGGTTTTAGTTTTTCGAAAAGAGTTGCCACCAGTTGAATAATTAAAGTCAAATCGTTTAATAATTAATGTCATCATGACCGCTCCGTTCGTTCAATTTGCCGAAATGAGGTGTCAAATTAAAAGGTTAGGGCTGTATGTGCAATAAGCTTTTACTTTACTTGAAAAGCGTTACCACCTTTTAAAAAAAAAAAATTATATTCAAATTATGTAAAATAATAAATCAATTATTACAAAATGGGTATCAATCGAAATGGTTTTGAAAACCTTTTGTTTTTAGCTTAATTATATGAGGGTTGCCACCTGTTTAAAAAATTGTATTAGGCAAGAGAAATATGTATCACCAACTGGATGCCAAACGAAAGGGGCTTCAGATAGCAATAGTTTGCAAATATTTTGAAGAGGGTTGCCACCAGCTTGAAATGACGAATTCAGTTCACTTATACACCAGTTATATATAAACTATCAAAATATGGATGTCAAACGAACGAGTACTAAAAAATCTTTAGTTTGGACGCTAAAAATATTTCTGAGGTGTTGGAAGAAGGTTGCCACCTGTTTACAAATTAAATTTAACTTCTTTAATACGTTAGTTATTAAATTATGGGTATCAATGTAAGGGTGTTAAACCAATTTTTTATTTCTGAGCTGTATTTAGTTGGGCTGCCACATGTGTGAAAAATTAAATTCCACTTAATTGGGCAGTTAATTAAAATATGCATCGCAATGGAGGGTTGACAAAGATTAAGCTTGAAAATACCTTTGAAGAGGGCTGCCACATGTTTAAAGGTCTAACTCAATTAACTAATACACAAATGGGTATTAATCGAAATGGGTTTGAAAAAGCTTTATTCCTGACCTTTATCAAATTAAAATTAGTTCATCAGTTTATTGAAATGGATGTGTACCTACCATAATGTCAGAGGAAGGAGATTTAAGAAGATTTTAGTTTGAGAATACGTTTGAAAAGGAATTTCAAAAATGAAAGACCTTAGCCTGTAGATGTGTGATAAAGTTTTATTTGTTTTTTATTAAGAAAATCCTTCATCGATATATGGGGATTTGATGATTTGATGAGACTGCTCTTCACTGGCACTCGCATCTCTTATAACTTATTTGAAATATTTTTTCAGTTTTTGAAATTTTGGGCGCCTAAACGCAGTGCGGGTTCACTTGTGAGTCATTGATGTTCCACCGTGACAGTGCTCGGGCGCATATCGCACAAGTGGTGAAAACTTATCTCTATGATACCGGATATAAAGTCCTAGCCCACCTCCCTTATAGCCCTGACTTTGAAACATTAGACTTTCAATTGTTCCGGTCGATGCAAAACGAACTTACGGGAGAACGCTGCATTTCACTTGAAGGTATCAAATATTGGCTTGATATTTTCTTGTTCTCCAAAGATGTGCAGTTTTAGTGGCGCGGAAGCCATGCATTGCCACGAAAGTTGGCAGAAATCATAGCTAGCGATGGACAATACTTTTAATAAAATACATTGTACCAAATATGTACAATAAAGTTTCAAAATCCGGAAAAAGATATTAAAAAATTACCTGTATACCCATATCTTCAAGACCGACCAGACAAACTATGGAATGAATGTCATTGAGATTTTGAATAATCCTAACTTAATTCCGGTGTACTTTTACATCTTACTAGGATTTATGGCTACTCTGCATGAATTCCGGACTATGGACTATGCTGTATGATTACTTCTTAGCTGTTTGAATTTCGCTGCTGCGGTGTTTTTACTAATTGCAAAACAGTAACTATACATTTCAAAGCATTTGGACAATGGAACTAATTAGTTTCTGTTTACTGCAGGGTATTTAATTTTTACTTACTAAAAATAATTTGCAGTTAAGTTAAGCCAACAAAGAAATCAGTAGTTTTTAATTAGTATTTGTATGTGTGTAATTTATATATATTGTTTTGAAATTGAATGTTAATTTTTGCAAGCGTTATGTTTTGAATATTTGATTCATATTTTTGCTGTTTAGGTTTTTTTTTTTTTTTTATTTAAGTATTTACATTTATCCAATCAGCTTAACGTTAAAAATTTTAAGATTTTCAAAAAAATTTGGTTTCCTACTTAAATACATTTTGTTTTTTTTTTTCTGGCTTCGCTTGTTGTGATCTTTGCTTGTTAGTGATTTGTTGCTGTATGCTTCAATTGATTTTATTTACTGTGTCAATTATCTAAATTAATTTCAGAATTTACGCTTTCAATTTGCTGTTTGTTGGCAACAAATACTCTCTGTATATAGTACGTTTGTTACATACAGTTAATTTATACACACATAAGTATATACTAACGCGAATTAAAATTAAAAAAAAAAGTGTATGAAACAAATTGTACTTAGATTATTTAGTGAATTCTTTGTATGTTTGCTTGCGTGTCGCATACAAATAATTTTAGTGTTAATGCTAAAAATATTGTATGCACTTAAAAATTAGAATAGTGTTGTTTATCAATTATTGTTTTACTTTATATTACTTTTTTAATTAATTACACTTTGATTTTTATTGGCATTTTATTTTAGCTTATGCATGTATGTTTACCGCTTATTTAAACCATAGTTGTAAACACACACATACATACATATGTATGTATGAATGAGCACGTGTATGTATGTTTTTAACCTACTTTATATATAGACATAAGCACATTCAGTCGTTGAATTAAAATGTTTTTTTGCACTTACCTCAATTATTGCTACTTTTAATTTAAATGTTATTTTATTTAAATAAATTTTGTGAAATCTTTGTGGTTTCTTTTACTCCGCAAAAAAAATAAATTTTATTTATGTTTAACTATGTATAAAACTTTTTTTGCACGCAATACTCAGCGGGAGCTTATTGCTTCTACTCGCCGTTTTATACTCAAATGAGCTAAACTCAAGAGTAAGCGTAACGGGATCTTCATATTTGCCGGCCGGGTGAACGCGCGAGAGCAAAGGATTTACAATTTCGCATACATTTTTTTTGTTTACGCTCGCATACTTTCTCTCTTCTCTTAGAGTTCTCACTGTCATTCGCTCACTTTCGCCAGCACTTAATTAACCTGCATAGTTTTATGACTTACTGTACCATTGCGGTACTATTATAGCTATTTTAAGTTTTACTCACTTACATGCTAAGTTATTCGTTTCACTTGTCGTCAGTAGAAAAAAATGTGGCATTTGTTGATGATTGTTCAACTACAACAATTTAATATTTCATATTTCTAATTAGTCATACATACATACACATAAATATAAATATTTATATATTTATAAACTCGATTACTGTTGTAGTCTTATTTCAGCTGATTAGTAAACATTAGTACTCCAGTAGCTTTCTTTGTTATTAATAAATTATTTTTTACTTTATAGTACTTTAGTATTATACCTGGATGGCTGAGTAAGTGTTTGTTGTTTCATATGTATTCTCGCCTTGCTTGTTTTTGCCGCCATTTACTCCCACAATACTATTAACCATGTTTACAACTAAAACTTAAAAAATATCTACGCTCAGATTGCGCTTTTTCTCTTTATTTCTCAAGAGAAATGTATGCTCACTTATACTCACAGGTTTCTCACTCAATTCACATGCATATGCACTCATAAGTGTGCTTATGTATGTGTAGCTGTGTAAGCACACATCAACTGATTTTGTGTGTTTTGTTAATGTTTTTTTTTTTTATTTAGGTTTTACTAATTCTCAACTACTTTACGGCAACAATTTTATTTTGATCAACTGCTCACCAACAACACGCGTCTTATTTTCAATTATTATTTCATCGCGCACAACAACTCTAAACCGCTCATACTCTACCCCACGCGCTCTTAATGCCCCCCCCACCATCACTTTTAGCTTCACTTTCATTGCCCTCTTGCTCTTGCTCAAAAAGTATTTTCAAATGCGTCTTCGCATTGTTTGTTAGGTTAGTTTGTTTTCGGACGTTATGCGCGTCATCGTTATTGGTTACGTCTTCTATTTTTGCTACTTCAGCACCCTTTATTTGCTTGATTACTTTGTTTGTTTCGTTTACGTTTGCTTCGGCATCTATTTCTCCTCCTTCTGCTCCTCTCTCCATGCCTGCTTCTACTTCTCCTCCTCCTTCGTTCGCTGTTACTTGACTTTCTTCACCAGCACCAATAAAATTTTGTAAAATACGTTCGACCATTGCAATGGCATCGTTGTATTATCCGCGATCATCATCGCGTGCGGCGAAGAGGGTTCGCATCGAGCTGGTGATTAAATTCCACCAGCCCGCTGCGAACCCGAGTGGTCGCTATAAGCTATTCTCGCTGCCCATTTTCAGCAGTTCGAACTTCTTCTTAGCGATTTTCGAATATAAAATATCGATCGGTTGTGATTGATCGTACAAACTGGGCGCTTGCAGGATAATCAGCGCCGTGCCGACCACGCATGCAATCGCGAAGATCCACAGGAACAGACGATCCAATACCATGGCAACATATTTCCAATCTTCTTCCACCTGTAAAGAGGAAAGTGTATAAGAGGGAATATTTAAATATTTGACAAAAGCAAAGTTGTTGAGAATGGACGCCATTAGACACGTTTCGAACTGTCATATAGAATCATTTTCAACATGAGGTTTGCATCTATTGTTTTATAATGGTTAAGTTAGAGCTCCATACTAAGCTTTTCAGGCTTTGTGGCTTTCGAAATTTTTGGCTGAATACAGCGCTAATAGCCTTAAAAAACTTGATGTTGAGTTCTAACTTAAAGTAAAGTCAAATCGGTAATCTGACGACTTTTGGCGTGACGGTCGCTCCTTTTGAAAATTGTTAGGCCAGTCGCTAGGAATGTAGCCATTTTGAAAACAAGGTTTTTCTTAATCATAGTTGGAGCAGGTATTTTTGAACCTCAACCAAAATATGCCCATACGCTGATTTTCGTTCTCGGTGACCACAGAAAATATCTCTGCTTGGCTTTTGTGCAGAAAATTTTAACCCTCTAACGGTCACTTAAAAAAAGGTTCATAGAGACCCGGTTGGGTATTTGTAAATGGACAGAAAATTTTTCGCTCGTTTCAATGCAATCAGCCGCAGCTTTCTAGCTGCATTCATGTTTTTCGTGAATTCACGTTGGACAATTTTCCAAAGCAAAGCATTCAATGATACTAAAGCTTCAAGGCTGTTTTTCTCGAAAACTTATTTGCAAACCGTATGTCCCTTTTATTTATTTCTGTCCCATAACTATGTATATATGTAAGAGAATTTATTAAACAAAGAAGTTATGTAAACCGGAACCCCTTTTTTAAAAAATGTAAAGAGGTGGAGCAATTTCCTCTTAGGCGTTTTGCCCATCACTTAAGGACACAGAGCTGTAAAATTAAAAATTATTTTGTTTAGCAATCAATGGTGTGCTACTGATTTGCCTGCAATAAAAATTGATTGCTTTTCTTCCGATTGTAAAAGTTCTAATTTAGAATCATTTACAGTAAATTGATTGCAGTCAATTTGATTTTAGGCACTTTTGATATCAAAATTTGATCGCATTCAGATCACGGATTCAATCAAAAATCTTTACTCCTACTAAGCTTTATTTTTGGTAAGTAAAGCAATTGATTCACGATTTGTTGAATGTGAATACAAATCGAATTGATTGCAATAAAAAGTCTTCTATATGACTGTAAATTGTAATATTTACAATCAAAATAAAATCAGTAATTTTTGATTGCAATTAAACAGGTTGCAACTTGCAATTTTTACAGCTCTGCATGGATGCAACCGTTTGGGCATTATATGGTTGAGGCCCAAACTTGTGCCGCAGTTCCATCAGAAGACGAGTGCAGTGTTACCCTCTTAAACAAAAAAAAATTGTATTAAAAGGAAAATTTTTATTGAGCTTTAGGCCGTTTTTTTGTGAAAAATTATTGTGGAAAAACAACAACAATTTATAAATGGTAGAAGTTATAGGTACTATTTCGAAGATCATCATATATGCTCATCAGACTTCTTCATCGAGTTCACTGGGACTCGAACTAGGTACTCCAGCTTACAAAGCCAGTGGTCTACCCACTTCACCTTATAAACTGTTGTTGATTTTCCACTTTTTCATATGTCAGTCAAGGGCAACTTAATATTTTGCTGCTATTTAGGCTCGATCATGTGGCAATTGTGGTTGTTGTTTTGGTTAATTTCTCGTTTTAGAATTTAAACTTGAACACGTGCTCGTCCTCAAGTATTTGGTTTTTTGTTATTTTTTTTTTTACCTATCAAATCATACTAAACAATTTTTATTGAGCTTGAGGCCTTTAACTGCAACCATTTATTAACTATTGTTGTATTTTCCACCATAAATTGTTTGGCATTATTTATTAGGCCAAAAAAATAACTTCTAATGAAAATTATTTCAGAGATAGCTTTACAGGAGTGTTTTGTATTAAAAGATAAAAACCAGGTTAGAGGGCCATACTTCCGAATATGCTCATATTTCGTACTAAATACTTACCCTAAAAAAATAGAGAACGTATGTATATGTGTTCTTAAAGAGTTTTATATGCCTCTTTTTTATACTGTTTTCTCTTCCATTTCCGGATTAGTACAAATCCTCTACAAATTTAACTTTTAGATCTCTAAATGTTTTTTTTTTATTCAGAGCGATTGGTCAATAGTATTTTGTTGAGCAATTAGTCAGTTACAAACTAATTTCTGCAGTTCTATAAATTTGAGTTTCTTGAGAAATGCCGCATTCTCTTTTGGAAGTTGGATTTGTCTTCATGAAGATCATGAATTCTGTTCAGTCGTACCATTTCTATTTCGATAACTAAGAAAAAAGATTTTTGTTTGAACTTGTATACCTCTATAAATTTTTCTGTGTAGATTAATTTTTTCCGCTTTTCAAAGTTGGATTCCTCTCCAGAAAGATCGTGCTCTTGCTCTTAATCCATACTATTTCAGACCTTAATACATAATAACCGTCATCGATTCGCCAACAGTTAGCGAGTGGCGAAACGAACGAACTCAATGAGGTACAACCAAACTCGCTATCGTCTGTCGATGCTAGCTAACTTTGTTGTTGCTTTCACATGCAAAATTCTTCTTTAAGCGACCGGAACTCAAACATAGCGAGCGAGAAGTGGCGCATCGATGACGGCTAACGATAGAGGAAATACTCTCTTCGAGGCTTTTCACGTAGACTATTTGTAGAGTCAAAAATTTACGATTTGCGCATTTCGTATAATTTTTCTCTATTCAAAGAGGAAATACTTTATTCAAGGTTCTTTACCTAAACATTTTGGGATTTGTAAATTTAGGACTTGAGTGTTTTGTATAATTTTTCTCTGTGCAAAGGGCAAATACTTTATTCAGGGCTCTTCACGTAGAGTATTTTGCATTTAATATAAAAATTTATTTTATAAGTGTATTTGGATAGACTTTTGGTTGTAGCCCTGTATTGTTTATTTTATTTTAATAAAACAAAAGTTCAAAAGGTAAAAGAATAAAATTTTAATGCTTGGTTTTCTCGAAATGGTGATGATGAATTCATTATTGTGTTAGTCATACTTAGTGCCACATTTTAACTAATTTTTTATTATTTTTAATGTATAAATGAATTTTTTCAAAAATGCGATTTTCCACATTTTATAATATACATACATGTATTAAGGATTTCGGGGGGTGCGTAAATTTTAGCGCTCATAAAATAACATTCAGGAGAAATGCCAAAGAATGTAAAAAAAATCGTGTTTTTTTAAATATATGAGAATCAAAGGTAGTAGAATCAAAGAGGTAGTAGAAGAGAATCATAAGGTAGTAGAACTTTTTATTTAATTTGAATTCGGAACCTTGACTACTACCCCGGAAAATACTATCCCTGCACCTTGCACCTTGCACCTCTAACTGACTTTTCCTTTTTAGGTTGAGTAACCATACACCATAATACCAAAGTTTGAAAATTTTTAAATATCACTACCAATTTTTTTAAGAATGTCAAGAATTACGTACCCTTGAATGCGCCAGGTTTGCTATAAAGATAGCTTAAAAAGCATCACTGCCAAACAAGAAGAAGTTCTCTATCAGTCCAAAATGTTGCAGCAAGTACATATTGGCTAATATTTAAGACATATCGTAACTATAAACTATATTTTTATGAGCAATGCAGGGAAATGGTGAATTGTCAATTGCATGCCAATACATATTACTTAAGCGTTAAATGAATTTACTCTCATCAAAAGAATTTGCATTGAACTAGAAATGAAAAGCTGCCAATTAGGTACTTAAAAGTTAATTTCGAAATTCAATTAATTTCTTGCTAATTTGTGACAGCTAAACTTTCCATTAAATATTTTCGCAGCCTTGACTAATCCAACTTACCAGTGACAATAGCAGCGAGCGTGGAACTCATTGCCATTCGAATTTCTGCCGAAATGCAATCAATCGTTAAAGGTTAAATTTGAGCGCAATCAGCCAGCCTCTCTATTTGCTTTGTAGTTTTCTAACAATGCAATTGTTGCATATGTTGATACCCCTACTTAAATATGGCTCACATATATGTATTTGCATTAGACTGGGTTGATCTACATACAAAAGAAGTTTGCAATTTTCCCTCAAGTATAAAAGCTTACACTGAGAGGAGTTTTGGGTCATAACGGTTTTAGTCTTCGGCGAACCTTAAAAACAATCATAATTAAAATTTCTTGCTGCCTTTTTATTTGTGACTCAAATCCCGTCGCTCTATAGAGTAGGATGATTGACTCGGTTTTTACAAGCCTATTTTCGCCGGTTTTTTTTTTAATTTTTGAGTGGTTTTTTTGAAATAGTGATTTTTCAAATATCGAATAAACCTGAGTTTTGATATCGTATAAATCGGGTTATTCATCAAGAATATTTATACAACTGCATCTTGCAAACGCAAACAATTTAAAGCAGGTAGTTTTTTTCTGAATTTAGAAATTAGGATTTTCTTCTAAGTTGCCTTTTTTTTTAATAAATCGAAAACCGAGTTGGGAAAAATGTCGAATAAGAATATTCATATAACTGCATTGCTATTTTCAAATAAATAGAAAATTGGGTTGGGGAAAAAGTCGAATAATCGAACACTCCTCTGCTTAGCCTATTAAATTCGAATAATTTACTTTCTACTTCACTAAATTTTGATGCTGACAGGCAAGTAAAAAGTGCTACAAAAAAAAAAAAAAAAATTACGAAGGGAGTTGGAATTGGGGCAGTTTGTTATACTTTTTGTATACATTTTAGCTAGTTTTGGTCTACTTTCCTCGGACCATGTTCGCAGCATATCTACCACATGTTGAGTAAGTTCGTATAAAATTTTAGAGGCCCTTTTTCATTTTGGTACGCTATGGCTTGGCCTGTAAGCACAGCAGAAATTAGTCATTGTCAGGTTACATACATACTTCTTCTCTACTTCTTCTTTCGGAAAGCTAAACTAATGGCATTTTCTTTTCTCGAAAAAAAAAGTCATCTTCCTATATGACAACATTATCACGGTGCAACATTTTAAAGAAAGAGCACGCAATATGCATGAGAAGGTGCTGAGAAAAGCACACGAAAACTTGACAGCCCTAACGCAGGGCAGAATAAATGCTACATTATTTCGAGAAATGAAAACGCTAGAAAAAGTCATTGTGGGTATTTACTCTTGTCTGGTTATAAGGTAATTTGGTTTTTTGTTCAGTTAACAACAATCGAATGCAATATAGAATGAAAATTTTTATTTTTTCACGTTATCAGGCAAGTGTGAACTCCCACATTATTGCTAAGTTTTTTTTTATATGTAGATACATGGCGTATGAGTAACATTCTTTCTGCCCTCTTTTCATACAAAAATTTTTTTCATTTTCATTTGAACACTCATTCATTCTTTATTTATCCATCAATTTTATTCATTAAATCTGTTACTTTTTCCCTGCTAAAGTTTGATTTTTGTTTTTAATTTTTTCATAAAAAAAATACTAAATGAAATGATGAATTACAAATATATTGTTATTTTTAAATTTTTTCCCTGCAAAAGTACATTTCTTTTGATTAACACTTTTTTTTTTTATCAGAATAACGTTAAATTGCAAATATCTTGAAAACTTGTGCACAGAAAAAACAATAATTTTCTCCAGTCCCGGAAACAGGGAGCGATTTTACACAGGAATTAGGTAGTGAGATCCGGTGTCGGTAAAAATTTAAATTTCTGATCCAGCTGTACCACGATGAAGTTAGTATTGAATACGCAAAACCGCGTAACTGAAATTTTTTGACAAAAATTGGATTTGATCACCGAAGCTCTTCGCTTAATCCTTATTCTTTCGTCCCGAAAAATATTTACTGGCCAGAAATGCGATGGCTTTATAAAACAGAGAACCATTTTGAAATATGAGTGTTTTTTCTCTCTAGAAAATAATTTATGCAAACTCACATACGCGGTTTTGTATTTTAAACGACGATATGTATGTAGTTTATTGGATTTATGATTGCCAAATTCGCGATGTCACATTTCAGTGCTTTGATTTTGAGCTCAAATTTAAAAAGTTTAATTTTTTATTGCCCTCCAACAGAAATATACATAAGCTTCGCTGTGCACAGAGCGGTAGTACGAGATTGGCTATACACTTGTGTGTGGAAATGTAAGTGCCTTTCAAGGTTTTGCCTGAAAATGCAAGCACTTGGAACTACCATTTACGTATGTACATGTGTATCTAAGCCCACATTTGTGTATGTATATGCATCTATCATAGACGACAAATCAAGTGAGGCAAAGCAAATCAAACAGACAGCCAGTCAGCCATCCAGTCAACCAGTTAGCTCGGAGGTCGGCGAGGTCGACGAGGGCGATACACACAGCGCACGTGAGGAGCGCTAGCGGTCCTGGGTTATGATTTCGACAGTGGTGGCGGTGGAAATTCGATTTAAACAAGCTTTGCCGCAATCATCAATAATGCCAATGATTGCAAGCAGCAGCGAGTGGTAGCAGCGTATGGCAGCCACAACAGCGAGTAAGCATCAGTAGTGGCAATGGTTAAATTTTTTGTTAACTTTTCTTTTTTTTGTCAGAGAACTGCTCGCCAATCGTGCGCCAGCTGATTGGTATTGCTTTAGCATCAGCTGCCGTTTCTTAGCGCACTGATGGCGTGCCATAGTATACTGCATACATATGTATACATAGTTGGTATAGAAATAAACCATTATCCACATACATATATGCATGCAAGTATGTATCCAGCCAGCACAAGCCTTCAGCTTAGCCGCCAAAGCATCGTTATGCACTTTGCTGTGCGACGTGGCGTATGAGTGACATATTTGTGAGTTGCAGAGCCATAAAGTACTTAAATCCATGCATACATACATAAGAATGTATGTCACATGTATGCATGTAAATATGTGATTATGTTAATATGTATTTATGCATTTACAGTAATGCGAATTTTTTGCTCTTAGAAAAAGCCACTTTAAATTACGCTCCAAAGAAATGTTCGATTTTTGCGTCGATTAGAGGAAGAAAAATGTGCAGCGAGCATGCAAAAGCACAACGGTGCGTCAAAAGAGAATTGAGAATACTATTTACGTACCTATATTAAACTTTTACAGAAAGAGAAAGCTAAATTTATGGCAAAACTGTGTTAAAAACCTTTTTTTAACTATGTATTTTTAGTACTATATATACATTAGGGCGATTTTCTTTTGCGATTATTGATTTTTTTTCACTCCTACCTCAAAATTTTGTGGAAAACACCTATAAAAAACTTAAAAAAAAAAAATTTGAAGCCTTAGTATTAACATTAAGTACTCGCCCAAGGCGTGCAAAGATTTCCCATATAAAATAAACGTAAACTTTGAGTTTTTTTCTTAGAACTCAGCGGAATTTTATGATATAATATTGGTCAATGATGGATTTTCTTCAGAATTGAATGCTCTACAAAAGTGTCCATTGCGGGGTAATCGTAACTCCCACCAGCGAGCTAGTACGGGTCACTAAACCAAATTTTTTCATGAAATTCTCGTTTTTTACGCCTATCTCCAAAATAACAAGAGCTACAGAAAAAATATAAATGACAAACTTGTAGTACTTTCAATTTTCTTACAAAAAACTTTCAGAACATAAAATCACTAACATCGATATTTCTTGAGATATTGGACTTTGAAGTTGATCACCAATTACTATAATTTAGCTGAATAGTCCATGAAAAGTACACACTACCTTAACTTCAAAGCCATTTATTTAAAGCAAATTCATCTGAAATTCATTTGATTATAAACATCCATCCATATCAATATTTACTCGATTTTTGCAGACCCCTAAGGGAATTGAATTGAAGGATTTTCTGATTGATCGCCGTTAGCGGGTAAGAGGCGACTAAATCCCAAATAATCAGCCACGAATAAAGGAGTAAGGACTTGCGGCTTGGCTATTTTTAACCAGTTTGCAGCGAAAACCATTGATGAAACCCTTCGCCCACGCTAAACCGTCGGGGAATAAAATTATGGAAATATATGCTGCCTAATTCAATTTAAATAGTATGCCATACTTAAAGCAAAGTTAAAAATTCATGGATTAAGACACAAAAATACACAGATTAAAAAAAAATCTCAGAAAAAAACCTCAAACAGTTTTGAAACATTCCGAAGCGTCTCGATTAAACTCAAAAATCATGAAGCAGAGATAAAAGATCTTTCTTTCTGAGAGATGAATCTAACGGTAGAATTTTTTTCCGCTCTGTTTCTGATGCGCCGTTTTGCTTTTTTCAAGAACTTGCGTGGGATTCTAAGTGCAACTTTATACCAAAAAAAAAAAGTTTTACTAAATCGGATCTCACTTTATGCCTCTCGTGGAAATCGGTATTTCGAAGATGTCAAGGGAATGTACAAGGGAATTATGTAGTTATTGTACATATAATGTTTCATAAATTTAGATTTAGCCCCCTGATTTAGTTTTTTTTTTTTGAAGAAGTGATCCGGGTTAAGAAGAGGTGGGACTCAATTCGATTTGTGCAATATATATATATCATGGTGCCACATTTGATGAAATATTATTGGACATGGATTCGTGCATCAATTCAATTTATGAAGTGAAATTTTTGATTATACATACTTGCTTGGAAGGTCAGAAGATGTCATAATAGATGTATTATCATAGTTTCATATATTTCGAAATGCTTAGAAATGTTTAGTGATTGTGGATTACTTAAAAATATTTGCCGTCATTATAAAATGTATTATAGCCGTGGTTTTTTCACGCATACATATCTATGACTAACGTGTAAAAACCAAGCATCAGCAATTTCTATTTAAAAATAAGTAATTTTGATTTTATCGATAATTATTCATAAGCTCACATAAAGCTTGTCGCTAAAGCTTCATACAAATTTTAAGCACAGCCACTTATGCGTGTAAAAAACACGCCTAATATAATGACAATATGACTCGTTATGACACCTTTTATGTGAGTAGAAATATTACTGAGTAAATGGAATGCATATATTTAAAAGTATTTTGATATTTCTCCCACTTGTACTTACACTCTCAAATTTATCTTTGTTTTTCACATGTTGCGCTATAAAACGCGAACCTTCGATGGTCTTCTCCATTTCACGCATATACGGCTTATCGAAGGTCGGACTCAGATCGGCATGACAACAGCCGGGACTGAGATCCCCATTGCCCGATGGACTGAAGAGGTCATCATCGGCGCCGGGCAGTGGCAGTGCTGAGGGTAGGGGCGGATCACCAAAACAGGGCGCTATGCCGCCCGCCGCGGCTAAATCGAAACGATGCGAGGCAGGAAGTGCTGAAAGAGAACGAAAGCGAGAATGAGTATTAATTAGATATTTTAACGCAGGCGACTATAATATATTTATACACAAATTATACTTTTTTATTGGGTAGTAATGTGTATATTTGCTATTTTATATTTATTTTGCGATACAGCCAAAATCTCAATTCGCCAATGTTTTTGACAAATACCAAAAAGAGAATTTTTTTGGCGGAATATATCGAGCAAATTTGCTAGTAAATAATTATACATATTTTAAAATGATTCATTTAAAAATGAATTTTTCTCTTTGTTAATGAATACTACAGTTAAACAAAACTTGGTCGTATTTTATCTCAAAAACGGGACCGGTCTCGTCTTATATTTATTTTTTGAAGCTGATTTGAAGTGCATTTACAAAATTTTTCTAGCACGTTCAGTTTTGAGAAAAAACTGTTGAAATTTCGAAAAATGGCAAAAATGACAGATTTCAAAAAAAATCTTAAAAATAGAATTTCGACGTATTTCTTCCGAAGAAAAAAAACAAGTTACCAATGAAAATCCAATTCACCTGCTGGATTCTCATGTGGATGGGTTGAGTAGAAAGGGGTAAAAAATTAAAAAAAAATTAGTAAAAAAAAACACTAGCGAAGAACATGACAAACGGTTCCACTAGGACGTAGCCACTATGGAGGATCGGTAGATAGCAAATCAACACCTCCACATATTTTCTGACAAATAGTCAATTGTGACCTTGAAAAGCGATGATAATGACCCACAGGCATGTTCTGAAATTCGAAACTTTGAAATCGACTCGATTTGCCAAATATTTTTTAATTATATCTGATGAAAACAGTGAGTATTATAATTGAAACCCGTAAAAGAAGCAGCAGCGATATGAAATAAATCATTTTAATGGGAGACTTGTAAATTTTTGGGTTAAAATCCATCGAGAAAATTACACTGTGAGACAAATGGTAGGGGTCAGTGATCGGGAAGGGTTCAAACTACCGGGGAAAGTTATATCGGTAAAAAAGAAGTTATACGTGTCCCGGCGTTTCACTGGGACACGTCTAGGAATCGAGATATATATACAACTATCATATAGGGGAAATTGTCACCTTTGGTGGTCTTTTTTTGACATATCTGAATCGCTTTTTGTAATAAAGAAAACATTGCTCAACAAGTTAACTAAATAAACTAATATCTGCAACCGTGAACGAAAAAATTACACAATATCTATGACTGCTTAGTACAATTGTAACGGCTTCGTATATTTCCGCGACCGCGTAGGACAATAGGAGCAGGGATCGGAAACTCGGCCTTTCCGACCTCGCCCAACAGTTCGTCTATAGCGTGGAGCGGAAACTAGGACTTTCCGCCTGCCTCACTTACAAAGTAACGACTACGGGAACATGGATCGGAAGCTCGGCCTTTCCGACCATGATCAACGGCCTGTAAACAGGGCGGAGCGGAAACTAGGTCTTTCCGCCCGCCGCACACAAAAGTAGACTGGAGACAAGGCCTCGCCAGCTACCCAAATTGCTATTGAATATCATTGTTATCTTTACAAGTTAATATTTATAATTATTTCACTCTGTAATGTATCACACATACTTAAATATTCTAAATCTTTTTATCTCAACTGTCTGTAAGAAAACATTTTTCTGTAGACTAAATAAATAAATAAATAAATAAATAAATAAATAACTCGAGAACCACTAGTCCGATTTCGCTCAAAGAAATTAAAAAAAATTAAAAATTACAGTTCCTTTAATCTGTTCATATAACGTTTTTCTATATAATCAACAGTTTTAAAAAAATTTAATATTTGAAACAAAAAATATTTTTTTTCTTCATACATTTATTTTTACCGGCAAAACTGTATTGTTAAAGTTATTTTATGGTCAAAAGGAGAAATTAGATATGCATATCGGATTTCAGCAAAAAAATTCCTTTATATCCTGGAATACCCAAATGTATATAGATATATCCACACATATAAGTACGCAAGGCAAAGTGATAAATAGTTATCAAATCTTTCCAAGAATCACGTGCTTCTCCGTTGTTAGGCGATTAAGATTGGCGTGCAACATGCTTGCACGAAGGATATATCAAATCAAAGTAGCTGCAGAATTAAAGTGCAATTGAAACAGTTTCATAGCACACACACAGACAAAAGTACATGCACTCACATTCAATCAAGTCAAAGCAACGGAAGTGGTAGTGAGGTCTTAGATGACCATGAGAGGTAGGTATGCCTCTTGTGAAGTGAAGTGAAGTGAAGTGAAGTGAAGTGAAGTGAAGTGAAGTGAAGTGAAGTGAAGTGAAGTGAAGTGAAGTGAATAGAGAAAGAAAATGCGAACATGGAAAAATTAGTGGAGCCGCGGAATATTACTTTCAAATACCGATATGCGTATAAAGGGTATGAGAAAAGCTTGCGAAAACGATTTTTTCATGCAAGCCAACTGAGTTGAAAATTTCGCAATTTTCCGGCGCAAACGATTTGTGACAACACCAACAACAGCGCCACACCGACAGCCAACGCAATCTAAGTGCTATTAAAGGCTAAAGGAAAGCGTTGCGCGTAATAGAAACTAAAATTGCTTCGAAAAAGAGGAGACAAAAAAAGAAAGCAGCTAAATTTCAAAAAAAGAAAAATATGTTAGAAATGTGTAGTGAGTGTAGAATGTGAGCGCGGCTTGAGATATGCTGTGATTTATTTTTGCAGCAAGAGAAATACTGCGTCTGTAGGCGGATCAGGAGTTAGGGTGAGTCTGCGATGCAAAAAAAGGAAATGTTCTGTCATGTCAAATTTAAAGCGGAAATTTCATTTGTAAGTTGTATGCAAACTTCCACATTTTTCTTCTTTACATACATACATGTGTATACTAGGTACATACGTATTGATAGGAAGATTTTATAAATAAATGTGTGTAACTATTTTCGTAGTTATGTAAATGAATGCACTTACATAAACTACATAACTCAAGAGAATGTCGTAAAGTCTGAGATTTTATTACAAGCAACATTAAAAATACAAGTTTGAATACAACGAAAAGAATGGACTTTGATTTAGTGCTGTGCATCTCGAATAACCGATTACATATTTGGGAAGGTGCCTCTGAATAGCTGACAGATGTTCTAGAAAAAAACTTAACTTCGCCATATAGATATGTAGGTTACATTTTCCATAGTTGTCATGCAAATGAGCGAGTATTAAATGGTGAGATTTGCTTTGCCACCACAAATCTGTGCTCTAAAGCTCAAAATTTCAACTCAGTTGATGAACGCGTCTGCGCTGACACCTAAAAAGCTCCTAGTGGAGAAAATGTCGCACTGGTAAAACAATTAATTGTTCGACTATCCCTTACTCCTTTGACCAGCACTCGAAGAAGTCGATGAATTTTGGTGTGTCTGTAAGAACATTTGATAGATTGGAGAATAGCTTACTGGGCGAAAATGTATTTCCGCGTAATTACGTAAACTCTTTTTTTGGGAGTCCAATAGTGAGCTTAAGAACAAAAGGCATAAAAAGAAAAGAGAGCAGAACAGAAGTAACTGTTAAACTAATATAACAATAGAAAGCTGGATGGCTTCCGGCAGGGTTTACAGCTCAATAAAAAATTCGCAAATTTAGAATGCGATTTATTGACCGATCCTTGAAGCTGATTGGAACTATAAAGTTCATCTATGTATACAAGTATATTTCTAAATCTTTTCCGTTGATGAAAAATCAGCATACACAATTGAGCATTCAGCATTAAAAATTGTCATCATATGCTCTAAATCTTTACTCTTTCCATAGTATGTATGCTGCAGTTATCAGTAAGGCTCACTTAGTCATTATTGGGGGACGTGGATTTAATCGCAATTAATCTCGCCTTTAAACACTGGATTATCAACCTATTGGACTATCATCATACAGGGATAGCTGATTGGTGTACTGAGGCAGAACTGCTCTCCATAGGGGTACTCTGTTCCTAACACTAGACCTCAGATAGGGCAGCCATCTAATAAGCTCATATTGAATACTGAAACATTTCCACCACAGATAAATGTCCAAACACTGTGCGTGACCTATTCTAAAAATATAATGAATGATGTTGACGGATTTGAAAACCTGGTTTCTGTATAAGCTAAAAAAATATTACTCGTTCGGACTTAACTCAAAAACCAATGGATTTATCTCTGTGAAGGTGATACCTTCCGAAACAGAAGAGACAGTATTTTCCTTCTGTGACAGTCAGGCAGCTCCCGAAGCTTTACACTCACATATAGACGACACAAATTCCTTTACCGAATGTCATACATCTCTGATCTAGGTAGCCCAGGTTTATATAATCTAATTAATATACATACAGTATTGGCCAATACAATAGCACCCCCATTTCAAAGTGATATATTTATTAATTTTTAAGAATTTTCAATTAAAACACAGTTCATTCTCTCACAAAACTCACATAAACTCAAGCTTAAAACTTTTTAAAATACCGTAAAAAAGTGCAAGAAATTTTCACCCAAATTTCAAACTTTTTTCTCAGAAGCTGTAGAATTTTTTTTAATACACAGTTTTATAGCCTATTCAATTTTAGTCTAATAATGTGCAAGTTTCAAGTGGCTAAAAGTTACCGTTGATTTTTTAGCATTTTTTTCGCCGAGGATGTTGCGGTTTTCTGCCATATAAAAATAAATTGTGTTTAGTCCATATATGGAAGCAAATGAGAGAAAAAAAAACACTAAAAAATCAACGGTAATCTCTAGCGAGTTGAAACTTGCACATTATTGGACAAAATTGAATGCGCTATAAAACTGTGTACTCAAAAAAATTCTAGAGCTTCTGAGCAAAAAGTTTGAAATTTAAGGGAAAGTTTGTTGCATTTTTTTTGCGGTCTTTTAAAAAGTTTAAAACATTGGTTTATATGGGTTTTGTTGGAGAATGAACTGTATTTTAATTGAAAATTCTTAAAAAACAAATAATTAAACATAAGTGGCAAACAATATCGCTTTGAAAGGGGGGTGCTATAGATATGCCC